TTGAGTGCGGTTGGTCAGGCACTTACAAATACTATACTATAGACTTATTGAGTCATCCAGGTGAGATGGGTAGTATAGACAATTAAATTTTTTTTTTTAAAGTTGCATAATCTTCGTGTACTGTAGAGCAGTGCTCCCCAACCTTTGCAGCTTGACCCAGTGGAGGGGCGGGAAGAGGGCAACTGAGTCGCACGAGTGGTAGGCCAGCATGCACGCACAGCTCGATTTGCTCAAGTGGTGGACCAGCACACACATGCATGTATGCTCAGCTTAATTTGCACAAGTTGAGCTGCACATGCACAGCAACCCACCAGATGTGCAGCCGAGTTGCAACTAGGCCACAGCCTGGTAGTGGGCTGCAGTATAGGGGACCTCTACTCTAGAGATGCTAGGTTTCAGCTCCCATTGTTCTCAAGCCAGCATAGTTTGACTGGGATCTTGAAGTCCAACACTTCTGTAGGTTGTGAGCAAAATTTAACAAGAGTCATGAGTTGGGAATGATCGGGGGGGGGGAGGGGGTATGAGGAATTTGGGGATAGGTAGGTGCTTGGATTGCTTTGAGGGGATGAATTTGAACTGATCAGACTTTTCTTTTTAGGAGTGCCTGGACAATGCTTATCTCGGCCTACTGGCATGGGATCCACCCTGGGTACTACATCAGCTTCCTTACCATCCCGCTCTGCCTAGCAGCTGAGGGGGCCATGGAGAGTGGATTCTTGAAGCACCTCTCCCCGTCTGGGCGTCTTTGGGGTGACTGGATACAGTGGTTCCTGAAGATGAGGGCCTATGACTACATGTGCATGGGTTTTGTGTTGCTTACCTTTGAGGATACCATTCGCTATTGGAGCTCGGTCTATTACTGTATCCATGTGGCAGCTGTGTTTTTCTTCCTGCTGGGAACGCTGTTGGGGACCCAGAGGAAACGGGGGCCCCCAAAAGATAAACAGGGTGCTCCAGAGAATCCCAAGCAACAGGAATGAGAGGGCAAAGTAATGTTGCTGTATACCCACAGCAAGGAATTCTACCATAGACACCGGAGGCTAAGGGAACAAATAAGACTAGTAAGTCTAGTTTTGATATATGTCATGACTGTAGGTGGGGATTGAAGGAAGTAATCTGAGGTGTAACTTGGAAAATCCTACTTTTGGTCTGGTTTGTGACAAGGCGATTTAGAAATCCTAAAAATATTGCCACCTAGGCTATTCTATTCAACACCAGGGGATTCTGAGAAAAGGAAACTTCTCCAGATGTTAACTTCTAACCCAATGTTTCTCAGTCTCAGCAATTTTAAGATCTATGGACTTCAACTCACATGGGGAATTCTGGGAGTTGAAGTCCATCCCTCTTAAAGTGGTTGAAGCTGTTCTGACCCTCCCTTTTGTTAGGTTTCTTTCTACCTTTCACTCTACTTCCATAAAGTTTAGAAATCTTCTGACTCCTCTATAATCTTGCTTTTCTTTTCATTTATTTTTAAGTCCAAACCTCAGCCATTTTATAGGATAGAATAGGGTAACGGAATTATAACCCCAACAGGTTATGGAACTTCAACTCCCGAGAACTCCAGCCAAGTTTAACAATATTATAGGCAATGGAATATATACTATAACTGCATAGCATTGAGAGGATCGCACATTCTCTCTCCTTTAACCCGTAGGATTTTTAGTTCTGTGATACACATTCTGTAACTAACTGATCCCTGATTTTCACTGTCATTTTTATTTTCTTTAAATGTCATAGTAGCCTTGAAAATATCTGCATATCTAGTGGGATTTTTTGAAAGGGTGAATTTGGGACTTTGTCCTTTGGGTAGATAAGAGATAAGGCTGTCATTTGAGCTGCAAAAATCAGGATGGTCACTAGAAGACAACTTCCATCCAATGATCATCCAGATTTTGGCAACTCAGATTTGGTAATTATACAGAAATGCGAAGATTTAACAACAACAACAAAAAGCTCCATCCAAATGTTTTTGATCACTTGTACAGAGAGATGTGCAAAAATGTGTTAGATCTCACAAAATCTTGAATCAGTGACCCTGTTGTTAAAAGAGGCGAGATTCTGGAATGTAAGAAGATTTTTACAGGGCTGGAACCTGTTACACAAAAGTGATAGAAACACAAAGATTAGTTTGCTAATATACAGGTACAGGTGGGGCTGGTGAACTAGTAAAGAAATCAGATGTTGCACACAAGGACTGCCGTATTTAAGTATGTTACTTTTAAATATAAGGAACAAATGCATGTTTGGGGGTTTGTTTGTTTTTAGCCACAATATTTGGGGCTGAAAAAAAATTAAACTTTTTAGGGCATAGAGGGCTGTGTCTTATGGAACCTAAAATGTGTACACTGAGTATAAAAAGGTGGGTTTTAGTTTGCAAAAGATAAACAAATATATTAACTACCAGAAAAATGATTGCTCAGGTAATACGTTTATGTCTTAAGGAAAACTATACATGAACCTGCTTGTGTTTGCATTATTTTTGGTCCAAACTAGTATTTTATTGGAAGATACTTGGAAAATAAAAAAAAAAATTTTTTTTAAGAAACACACAAAAACATTAGTCTTTTGCACAGTTGTATCTTGCTGGTCCTAAACAAAGTAGCAGAAAATATACATTGAATTTGAGAAGAGTAGTCTCCTGTCCTTTACTACATGGAGCTGGATTTCAAGTGTCCTCTTCTTCCCAAAGAGCTAACCAAGATTGTGAAACAATCTTAAAACTTTTATACCATTTCTAGTTTCTTTCAACTATCACACTGGCTCATTCATTAAATCGAACCTATACCATTTATAAATTGCGATTTTTGCCTTGCTCAAACCAAATCCACCCCACTCGGATCTTGTGTCGTCCTCAGCTCAGCCTTCTTTTTCCTGAAAGCCATTAGAACTACTCCTTCATTAAGCTGAATTCACCTCAAGTTCTCCATCTTGCTGGTTATAGAGCAGTGATAGCTAGCCTTTTTGTCATTGCATGCCAATAGCGTATGTGTGTGTGTCCACACCCTTAATACAATGTGCACATGCCCCATACCCCGCATGCCCCATCCCCCCTGTGCATGAACACGTGCCCCCCTGCGAATGTGCACATGACCCCCTGTGCCTGTCCCACAGGCATGAGTGGCAGAGATCCGAAAATCAGCTGGCCAGTGGGAGGCCATGCACACATGCACGGTGGAGCTCAGCTCGGGCAACGGCTTGCGTGCCCACAGAGGGTTCTGCATGCCACCTCTGGCACATGCCCCATAGGTTCGCCATCATGGTTATAGGGTGATCTCATCAGTGTCAGACCTGGAAGCCATCTTTTACTTTTGGATTTCAGGCCTGCCACACTTTCTACTGTGGGAAAAANGAAGAGGGAGTGAAGCTATTCTCCAAAGGACCTGAGAGTAGGACAAGAAGACATGGATGGAAACTAATCAAGAAGAGAAGCAACTTAGAATTGAGGAGAAATTTCCTGACAGTTAGAACAATTAATCAGTGGAATGATTTGCCTCCAGAAGTTGTAAATTCTCCAACACTGGAACTTTTAAAGAAGATATTGGACAACCATTTGTCTGAAATGGTTGAGAGTTTCCTATCTGAGTCCAGAGTTGAACTAGAACAATGATGGCTAACTTTTTGTCTTTGCGTGCCAAAAGTGCATACCCATAATGCAATGCTCATGCAACACTCCCCCCCCCCCACGCGTGCGCTCCCTACCCACCTATGCATGGGTGCCGACCCAAACCTCTGTGATCCATTTTGGGCCTAGCAGGCCTCCCTGCAGCCTCCTGGGATCAAAAATGGGCCATGGAGGGGTGCGCCACATTCCCCCGTGTCCCCCCCCCATGCATGCATGCAAGCAAGACCCCCGCGTATGCGCATGCATCTCCCACACATGTGGCAGAGACCCAAATATCAGCTGGCCAGTGGGGGCCCCGCATGCATGTGCGGTGGCACTGAGCTGGGGCGGCTGCTAATGTGCCCGCAGAGGGCTCCGCGTGCAACCTGTGGCGTGCATGTCATAGGTTCACCATCACGGGACTAGAAGATCCCCAAGGTCCCTTCCAACTATGTTATTCTGTTCTCCAACTCAAAGTTTAAAGATTGGGAAGTTGAAGATCATCTCAGAAGTAGATGAAGGCATCTCCTTTCTCAAGAAAAACATGGATGGAAGCGTGTAGCCACCTGGAACCAAATTTAGAGTGATGGAGACTTCACTAGTCTTCCTCAACTAGTTAACTCACTTTAAAAAATATCAAAATCTGTAGCTCATAATTACATCTTGTGGTCGCAAATTAACTACACACTGTTTCAAGTTTTTTTTGGGGGGGGGGAGCAGCATGGCTGTTTGATTCCATTGTGCATAATTGCATAAAAATAATAGCCCCTTATCCTTGCCATCAAGATACAAATAATTGGATGCAAGACCTCCCTCATCTCCTTGCTTTCCACATCTGTATCATGTTTGTGGTCCAGAACTGCTGGATCACTTCCAGAGATGGTATTCAGCAGGTTCTGACCAGTTCTGGTCAACTGGTAGTGGAAATTTTGAGTAGTTCAGAGAACAGGTAAATACCACCTCTGACTGGCCCCGCACCCATCTAT